CCCCCCCCCCCCCCCCCCCCCTCTCGCAGGCCTACCAGAGACCACGGTCTGCGTCATCCCCGCCGACTTCACCTCCGTCGACCTCGCCGCGCTCTTCCCCCGGGACACCGCCTCCAAGGACATAGCAAACCCCGATGAAATCACCCCAGCTAGCCGCCCCCACGTCCTAGTCGGCTGCTGCCTGGCGGACCTGCTCGCTCCGACCGACCTTGTGGGAGCCTTGGAGAGGCTTGCGGGCGGTAGCAGCAGCGGTGATGGTGGCTGTCTGGTGTACCTGCCGATAACGTTCGCCGGGAAGACAAGGATGATTCCCTCCGCGCCACAGGCAAGCTTTTTTTGAGAGAGCAGTGCAAGAGCGATGTGCTGTATATGTGTGTGCGCCAAGTTGTCCAGATGGGTCGCGGTGTTTGCTCACCCTCTCTCTCTCTCTCTCTCTCTCTCTCTCCTCTCTCTCTGTTCCCTTCTCTAGCATTCTCTCGCGTCGGTTGGCCCAGTCAAAGACCACAGCAGTCGCAGCAGCCTCTTTGCACGGGCGATCGCATCTTCTACGGTGCTTGCCCGATTAGTTTCACCCCTGACATGCTCGTTTTGCGAGGACACAAATACCCCTCCCTTTATTTTGTTATTTTTTTTGTTCTTGGTCCGTGAGAGTATTATAGTTCTGTAGCGACCGATTTTCCTGCTCTTTGTCTCGCCTGCTGTTTGAGAGAAAGAACCCTCTGGAGCGCTACACCACGTCCTCTCCCTTGGCTCTCGGCAGGAGGGGTTCGTGCCCAGCGACGAAGCGGTTCTTGAAGCATACGATACCTGCCTCAGGGAGGAGCAGGGGCACTTCACATGCCTCGACACCCTCCTGCAGGTAGACGTGCATCCGTTTCACGCAGGCTCCACGGCCTATGTAGGGTTTTGTTTCGCGTACAACTTCTTGCTGCCTAGGAGAGGGGGGCAGGGTGGAGGCCTTGGAGGTATAAAAGTGATACCACCTGTTTCACGGTATGCTGGGAATCGATGAAGCTGTAGTTGTTTGTTGTTTTGTCGAGTTGGAGGTGGCTTTCGTTTGCGAAGATCAAGAGGTGGGTTCGTTCGTGTGTCTCTCGCCCGACCCGGCCCACCTCCCTGTAGTCTCCCCAGTGCGCCCCGTCTAGCCGTACCTCTCCTTCGTTCGGAGCTCACCGCCGTGGTTGAGGTGAACACCAGCAACGAGAGCCGTGCATGACTCGATAAGTTATAAACGGATGTTAGATCGGTGCTCTCCAAGTTCTCCATTCAGCCCTCGGCTTGCGTTATCGTGCCCTACTTTTCGAAAGCGGTGGTAGCGTTTTCCGCCCGTCAAGGTTGCAAGAATGGTGCTGAGTCAGGAAAAGTACGGTGGCATTTCCATCAGAGGTTCCGTGGCGTCATCGCCCCCCCCCCCCCCCCCCCCCCCCCTCTCCCTAAACCCCCAAAACCACCAAAAACCC